TTAGTAGCCACTGGACAGGAGGCTGGATGGGCCTCAGGGCCAGTATGTGTGTAGAGGTCAGAAGAAAATTCCTTTGCTCCTGCCAGGGATCAAATCATAGTTGTCCAGTCCATAAAGTCATTATAGTGACTAAGCTGACCAAGCTGTAAAATATTCTAGTAAAAAGTATGATATGTACTTGCTGCAAACCATAATATTTGTTTTCTGAGCCTTTCTTTTACCCCTTCTATTTTGATAGGTATCGAAGATTTGCAGCTGTCATCCGTCAGAAACATTCACCTAAGAGTAATGAAGAAGGGTCTCTTCCTGTAATACCTGATGTCATGTCCAGTTCTCCATCAGTCAGCCCAGTTGCGGGTGATGATAATCAGTCTGAAGTCTCATCTGATATGCACTGCGCCCCTTCTACAGGATCACCTGGGCACACCTTTACGTTGCCTACCAATGAATATATGACCGTAAAGTCATTCGAAACCAGAGACTTTGACTACCTGAGATTCATGTCTAAGTTCCAACAGGTGCTGCCTTATAAAATGAAAAGCAACAAGGGCGAGGGGGTGTGTGCTGCATCCAACCATTTCCATTTGCATTCTGTTAGTTCTCCTGTTTTTGGTTTGTTTTAATATTTATTTTTCTCAGTTCCATTATGTTATTTAAAATAACAGGCGTAAGTATATACACATGTAGGACATTCATAATGCAATTTATGGAGCACAATAAGTTAAAATACTTTCTTTGCCTGAATCTAAAATGGCATGAAAAATCCCTTTATTTCAAACTTAATTCATAAAAGTTTCTGTTTTCATGCTAAATTATGTTTTCTACCCACTACATAGTAGTATTACATTGATAATGTTATCTTTAATTTGCATTATTACTCAAAGATATAATTAGTATTTCCCATTGCTTCACTTTTACTCAGTAATTATATATGCTCTCATGCAGCTAAATTTACTGTGTGGTTAGTGACACTAACTTCATGGAGCAGAGGCCTTAAGAAGCTAGTAATCGTGAATGTGGTCAAGAAATTCCTTGTCTTTTATGGAACCTGCGGGTTATATATTATGTTCAGAAGTGCCTGCCCAGAATAAACCATTGTACATCCTCTTTCTTAGAATTAATTTTAATATTATCCTCTGATCTGCCCAAGCATTATACTTATCTTTCATGGGCCTAAAGTGCAACCACCTGTACTGCCTTGCTGTAATGCCCGCCTTTGCCATTGATGTAGAGATGTTTGTGTCGAAGGTCTACATTAAATAAATTTATGTATATGAAATTGGGATGCAGAGTTCCCAAATTTCGGACGGGAATGTTAATCGTTAGGTATCTGTAGTAAAAAGGAAGCTGTCTTTTGTAAAATATTCCTTGATGTAGATACACATTTCTTTCAGTATGAGGTCCCTGGAGTGGGTGTTTAAAATGAGACATTTATAGACTCTGATGTAAAGTAAGCAATGTAACAGAATTTCTTGGAGTGAATTTTGCTTTATTGTCACTAGGTTGACCATAATGTGTGTGGGTGCTAGTGCATCAACATCCCCCTGTTCAGTTTGTATGATATCCTTACTTAGTTCTCATCATCATCATCATCATTGGCTCTACAGCCCTGTGTGGGCCATGGCCTTCTTCAAAAACCTCTTCCATTCGTCCTCATTCACGGACAATCTGTTTGCCAGTCCGCCGTAATGAGTACATCCGGCAGTTGCTTCATCTGATTTCATAACAAGTTGCTTTTTACAGGGTCAGGTTTTCAGCCCCATGCTCAACCCCAACCTGGGGGACCAGACCTCTGTATTTACAGCCCCCAGAGGTAGAGTGGCCCAGCTATACCCCCAGGCACTGAGTAGCTCGGGTACCTCAGGTGTGCCAGTCCCCGTGCCCGCTGATGTGGGTCTCTGAGGGGTTACTTAGTTCTCACATACCCTAAATGGCAGCACTAATTCTCATTCATATTGAATTGATATAATTTGTTAGCATTTAACTGAAGATTCACTGTTTCTTAAATGAATTTTCCTTTTCATGCATCTCAAGACATCGCAGCCACAAACAGAAACTACTAGAAAGAAACATGAAAAATTGGAAGCTGCCATAGAGACTGAGATAAATAAAGAAATTGATGCTGATGTTATGTGGATTAATGCAATGGTTGGTCGAGTGTTGTTTGACATACTGAAGAATCCATCTTGGGTTGAAAAGCTTCAGGAAAGATTACAAAGAAAACTTTCAACGATCAAGGTTTGTGAATTGTCTTGTGTTCTGTTTAATGGATTTATCTACTTAAAATATTAATGAAAATAAGTTGTAATGTATTGTTCTTCAGCCTAGCAGGCATGTTATTTGGAGTTATGTGGGTGAATATGAAGTGCCACGCTTAAGTAAAGGTTTCCGATTGCAGTCAAGCTCAAGGCAGGGCTGTTTGAGGTGTTTGTCATAACATATCATCACATCACTTGAATACCCCAAGTTGGAATAAATATTAACCCAGGAGACTGAAGTACCTAGTTTTTATATATATATATATCTCTTTACTCTGGCCCCTATAATGGTCATTCAGTTAATCTCAAGTAATTTCAGTAGGTAAAAATAACTGGAGTCATTTGAGATGGGGTCCGCAGTATGAGGCGTGGGCCTTCTGCCTCTTGGTCACTGGGACCGTGGGTTCGAATCCCACTCAAGCCATGGATGTCTGTCCGCGTTTTTCTGTGTTGTGCTGTCCTGTGTACAGGTAGAGGCCTTGCGACGGGCCGATCCCTCGTCCAAGGAGTCCTACCGAATGTCTATAGATCAAGCCAACAAAAAAGTTGGGACCCGCAGTGCTCAGGCACTTGAAGAACGGCTCGTTCCCAGTATCCCAGCAATTGAGACAGTTGATTATTTGTTTCAAGATGTGCATAACACTAATAGGACAGCAATGGGTAATGGTCTAGGAAGTTTCATAAGAAACATCCTGTAATGCAACATTTGTTAGTTATCAGTTACCTAGTGACTGAACAGACTTTTCAGATACCAAAATATGTAAAAAATAATATTTATAATTAATTTCAGCTTGTCCTAAACTCTGACTAAATGTTAAATTATGTGTTAAACTGAATTTTGAATGGCTTCACCTTTCTCATACCCAGTAGTATGTACAGTGGATAAGAGCGTAAGACTTACATCTTGATGTTTTATTACAGTACTTTATATTGCATATGAAAAAGTAAAAAATTGATGAAGGGTGGTATTAATAACATCTGAATATTGCCATGGGTCATATTTTTCCCATTCTTGGTACTGGATTAATAACATTTAAGTGTGCCACATATTCAGGATGACTCAAGTTTGAAACTTGGTGAATACTTGCATAATACCTTAAAGTAACTATTACAACTTTTTTTCTTTTAATTCCTCTCCTTTCACATGTGTGCTTGGATAATTAAGATCTGTATAAGATCAAAATATTAAATAATTTTTACTCTTTTACCTTGCTTCAATCAACCTTCAACAAGAAATACAAACAAAGAAATTAGAATGGGCATGATATTATGGTGGACTTTTGTAATTTAATCATTCTTATTCTTCAAATATTTCTTTGCCATTTTAAATAACTATAAATTTCATCTGTGCCACTTAGATGTAGTAGACATGTGTAATGAACATTGCTTTATGAGCATCTCTTATTATTGAGTTTCCTTTAAATTTTTAAATAAACAGCACATATACATTGTATTCTGCTATTGTCTTTTCAGCTACCTTATTTCATAGAAGACTTACTTATAACAGAATTAGATTTGGGTCACAATGTGCCTTTAGCCCATCATGCTTCTCGTCCAAGATTAGATGAACGAGGACTCTGGGTGGACTTGGATGTGACATATGAAGGAACAATATGTTTCAGTTTAGAAACAAAACTAAATCTGATGAAGGTGAAACAGATGGGAGGAGAGATAGCTGCAGCAGAGAAGGAAGAATGCTTGAACGTGGGTAAAAGGTCGGTCACCTTACTGTCTCACATTCAGCACTTGCCACCTTTTTGGAATTTTTTTAACATTTGCATGGTTAACTGTAAAGAATATCTTCATAAAGCATGATACTTATGTGAAAATCAGTGAAATGATAAGCAAGATATTGGATATCCTCAAACAAAAACAGTTGTGCTGTTTTCCAGACAGTTAATTCCCTGTCAGGCATCATTCTTTTAATCGTGCGTACTTGGATTTCAATGAAGCTTTGTACAAACTCTGAAATTGTCATTATAAGAATGTGTATGAAATTTTATACACCTTCTTTCACATATTTTATGAGTAATAAACTTTGAAATTTAAGGGGGCCTGGTGGTCTTATGGTAAGACACTGGACTTTCATTCAGAGGGTTCTAGATTTGGCCATGGTCAGACCACTATATGAAGTTTCTGCTAACAGACTAAAACTTTCACTTATGCCACATATAAAACTTTGGAAACTTGAAGTATATCAGGTCCCTGTCATGATTAAGGGCCAGTGTTAAACTGTAGATCCCATCTGCCTTACCCTTGTTAGTGGGAGTAACTGAATCTGCCTTCAGGAATGGATGACTTGCTTAGGGTTGGCAGAGGCCAGGAAACATCATTGGTCATACCTGGGGGCAGTAGATAGCAGCGATCAACCAACCAATTTTTAAGCTTAGTTTCACATGCTAGTTCAGTATATATTAATCATCTCGTATTGTGCTATCTTCTGGAAAAAAAATTATATTTAATATAAGTGATTCATATAGGCAGTTAAAAGTATGCACACACATTTATACAAAAATGGGCTGCTACTGCATTACTGTGTTCATGCCATTTTCTCGTATTTGTTTCAGTAAATCACCAATGTATGACAGTGACCTAGATGACAGTGCAGAATCCTCTGATGATGAAGATGAACGCCAAAGCACTTCAGGAGAAGAGTGAGTGACTGTATTGTTGGCTGATTCTCAGCTTGTAGTTGCATTTGTTTTGGGAAATACTTTTCTTAACCTTATTGCTGCAACATTTGCCTCTAGTCAAATGTCCGTATTAATGTATATTACAAAATTCAACTTTAATCTCCTTTCATTTTAACATTCAACTTTAAATTGTATGTAAATGCCACTGATGAAATTTTGTGCTCTTAGCATGACTTTTACTCTTGTGTTGACACTTCCAGTTACAAGATTGAAATAAATTATTTCAAAAATGTAACAGGGAGTGTTAGATAGGTGTGTTGTTAATTTTTGTGACTTTCATTTATATATGTACATAATCTAGCCATCATAATGATTTCAGATTTTTACCTTAATTTAATATTCTTCTAGGAGAGCAGTAAAAAGGAAATTGCAGCAAAAGGATTAAAGAACTAGCAAAGTAATTTTAAGTTACTTAATGTACAATTGTAATAAAGTATGAGCCGATTTTAAAGAGTATTAGAGGAGCCAAGTGAGATAAATTTCATAACACCAGGATACATAATATCTGATAATCCATATATGTTGATCCAACTGAATTTCAGTTATTCTAACCAATCAGCCACATTAATTTAGAACAGAAGTTTAACAGTTCTGAGAACATCTCTGCTGCCATCGTGAAGAACTTCTGTACTGAATTGATGCATCTGATCATCCAAGAAGATTTTATCACAGTACAAAGAATAAAAAGGAATAACTTGTTCACTGTGTGTTTTACACTGGTTTGCGAATAGGCAGGCAGTACATGTGTCAAATAGCCTGATCTAATTGAGTATGTGGCTATGATCAGCGTTACTGTTAGAGCTTCAGTTCAGTTCAGTTCGGTTTTTGTTTCCACAGTAACCGGTTTAGAAAATATGTTGGCTGTGTGTTCTTGTTTGGTGGTGGTTGGGTATGAATAATAGTCTGGATACCATCACATATGTCACCACCTCTGTACCAATTTTAGCCATTTTTCATCCAACCACAAAGTGAGCCAACATGGCAACCTGTTCCGGGTGATACCGCTGGATTTAAAAGGATTAATGTAAGTTAATCAGTTCAAGAATTATAAAGAAAAATATGTATTTTAGCAATGTGTTCACATTTAAAAATTATGGAAATGTGAACTTTTATTTCCTTAAGACACCTTGCATTTGTGCAGTTACTTTAAGCTCAAATGTTTGTTTCTAGAAAACCTCCTCCTACTGCTTCCACTGGAAGGAAGTTTATGAATGTTGTTAATAAGATTGCAGCATCAAAATATTTTCAGCAGGTAAGTCGGTTATTTGATTGCTTTTTATTGTATTTCATTAAATATAAAAAAAATGTTAAAAGGATCCATACTTTGTTACATTCTAGTTTTTGCAATAGTAAATTGATGATGGTACATGAGTGGTTAAAAGTCTGTTTGCAAGGAATAAAAGCATCTGATACTGGTAGTCAGACACTGGTGATGTTCCAGTAAGCCGAAACATGTTTCTCAGGAAGACTGACAATTGTAATTAAAAGAAATTTGTTAAAAATAATGAAAATTACTGTATTGTAGTTTTGTGAAGGTAAATAATTTTCTAATATGATTTTGTTTTCTAGGCAACAGAAAACAAGTACATAAAAAGAGCCATTGAAGGGGTGTCCAACACCAGGCTTATGCTTACTGTGGAGGTAAATGGTCTAGTTGGAACAGTGGTTCTTAACATCCCACCACCTCCATCAGATAGATTGTGGTATGTACCGAGGATATGTTGAAAATTGATTTACCTTTGCATCCTTCTTCATGTGATCTGTCAGGAAGCCCTCAAATTACTATGCAGAGGTTTCTTAACTTATCACTAGGCTGATACCCTTTAAAGCTGGAGCTTGTCTAAATAGCATTTAAAAATTCATCTGTACTGCATCGCTATTACAAAGATAAGTTTATCGACACTGTTTAAGGAAATAATTGCTGTTTATTGTGAGAATCACAGAAAATCCATAAATACAAAATGCAGAGTTACTGATTGTTGAAGCAGCTGGTACATATAGTTACCACTCAGCTTCAAATGGTTAATTGGAACAAGTTGTATTTTGTTAAATAGTTTTAGTTGCTCAAAAATGTAAAACATATTAATCTTCAACATTTCATTAATTTGCAGGTATGGATTTCGTGGCAATCCACGCCTTTGGTTGCAAGCTCGACCTAAGTTTGGCGAGCGCCAAGTAAATATAAGTCAAGTAACATCTTGGATAGAGAAACAACTTTGTCAAGAATTTCAGGTAATGCAAGTAAAAAGTTATCGGTTAATTGTTTTTGAATTTAGAGTGCTTGGAAAAGCCACAGTTGAGGAAATGTGGTGTGAAATTAAGCATTTGCATTTCAGTATCTTTTTGTTGCGGACATTTTTAATTATTTAAAATTTATTTCAGGAAATGGTTTGTAAAAGCTAAAATTTGATATTATATTTGATTTGTGGCTTATTATGTACCATGATTAAATTCTAATTTAATTTCAAATTTTTTTCATAGAAAAAGTTTGTACTTCCAAATATGGATGATATAGTCATCCCCCTCATGACTTCTCAGCTGCCTGACTAATGACAGAAGAAATATTACAAGATTCCACCATTTTCATTGTTCTGCATGACTCAGTACCTCCTCATGCCGCCAGCCAAATGAGGGACCACAGAAATAAATTTAAGTAATTAGTTCATTGTTTATGAACATCTCTTGAAAATCATTGTTATTACTCAGGAAGTTATTTGTTTTATTAGAAACATTAGTAGCAAAACATGGATTATACTTCTTCATTCTGGGCATTTGTATCTTCTGGGAAATTGGATTTTTGCTTTTTTATTTTGTAAATAGCATTTTCGAAACGATTCAGCCGCTGTTGGATTTGAAACCAAAACAATAAATTATAAAAATATGTGGGCAGATATAAAGTTACCTTATTATATTATTTTGTTGTAATATGAGTTTATGAATGTGTTGTAAAGTCACTCTTGATTGTTGAATGGCTTCCTTTTTGTGTCTTTTGTGAATGTTTCGTAGGAACGTACTGACTGAAAGAAGTTACGGGTTACTTTACAGAGCTAAGTTGTGATTTTGCTGTGGTATTGATTGATTTAATGATTGTCATAAATTTGGGTTTATAGCCTAGATCACTGATTGCTGCAATGTAGGATCTATGCATGAAAATTCCTTGGTGAAATATATTGAACTTTTTTAGTAGAATTATGCAGGTTTGATGTAACTGATACATTGTTTTCTGTAGTTAGAGCTTTTCCTTTATATAGCTTTATTTCCCTGTGTTGTGCCACAAATACCAAATTGCTGAAAGTCTGCTGGTTCAGATAACTGATATTTAAGGTGTTTTTAAATATTTAACTTTTATTCATTGTTTGGAGAACTGTTTGATTGTGTTCCTTGGAAACTTTGCCAGGGGGTGTTTCTTTTTTGTTTTGTGTTTCTTTGTTAGCATGGTTTGGAGTGATTTTTTGTGAGAAATTTCTTTAAAATTTCAACAGTATTTGTTAAACTTTTATTGAATCTTCAGAGGCAAATACGCCAGTATCACACTCCCTTTTCAAGTATGAAACCCAGAATTAAACCACTCCAAGTGTAACTTCCTGATCTAGATAAAAGAATCGCAACAATGCCGACAGAAAAAATGTTTCAAAGATGACAGAAGAATATTATACATGCAGAAAGGTCAGGTATAATGGTGATCTTTTTATCTGTTTTACTATTGACTTAAATCAGAAATACATTGTGCAGTCATTAAAAAAAGTTTTTAATGCTTACAGATTTATAATAGTGGATCACATGATGCCTATTTAAAGCCATTTCAGTTGTTTCTACTGTTTAGGGTGCTCTTGTACTTAACAAAATTCAAATTTTAAGTATTAGCTGTATATGAAACTGTATTGTGTCAGTATTTTCCTTGACACGAGTAAAATGTTTGTACAAAGCATCTTTTTTATATTAAGCTCCAGGCTTGTGCTATACATAGGTCACACTAAGGATGAGATTCACTGGACTAGGAGGGTGTTTGAACATCATCACACTTGAATATCTGTATCCTGCTTTACACTGTGTATGTACCACTGTATTCTGTCTATTAGTAACTGATATTATGCTTCATTTAAATTTGATTCAGATGCTTTGGTCAGGAGAAAAAGAACCCAAACCATTGCTAGACTGTGGTTACAAAAAAAATTTGAATAACAGTATCTAGTAGAGGACTGAAGGATTATATATGAAAAACTTAAAAGGATATGGTAGTATCCAAGAAGTTTATTTTTTAAAATAATTTATTTCTCTGTTCTTGTCTTGGATTTAAGTTTATGGAATGTCAGGTTGATAGTGGAAACCTTATGGAAGGGTTTTTTATTATATAAACTGCCTTATCTTGGTAACTTTGTAATGCTATCTATTATGCAGCACTACAGCAATAATAATGGGATTGAAGTGTCGTGTTATATCCTTATGTTTTAGATCATCAGTTTAATCAATAAGAACTATTTGGTGTAAATAACCAAAAAGTTGTTTGGTGTCTCATTATTTCATTTAAAGAACCTGAATTTAATGATAAGCAGTAATAATTCAGTATTTGTTTCTTGTAATGCACTAACTTTGAAGTGCTACAGAATATTTAGACAATTTCATTAGGTATTTTAAAAACACCAGGCTAAATATGGGCAGAGGTAAATTAAATCAAATTGTTGACTGCAGTTCAGGTTCTCTACAACAGTTTCTGTTGTCATGTTTAATAAGGTTTTCTTGTGGTATGGCATGTCACAATGAAAAACTGTAGACTGTCTATGAAAGAAGCAGATGTCATGGTGAACACTTATTCTCTCATGTCTTCCCCCATAAGCCTTGTTCCAGAAGGATCTTATAAACTTTTTTTTTAAGAGCACAGCTCCTTCCTTTGTGATTTCACAGTTTTCATAGCACCTGTGGTCCCTTGTTCCATTATATTTTGTTATCATCCATTGATGCTTCCAACAGGTCTTAACACAGTGCCTTCTACATTCTTGCCTGTCCTTCCCTAAGCTCTCTTGTGTCTGTGTCTTCTCCTTCCCTACTATGTGCTGTACATTTTTCCCTCACATGGTCTCTCCACTTAATCCGTGGTCTACCCAGTGTTCATTTATTTGACATTTGTTTGTGATGCTGTCAGATGAATTCTGTTGTTGTCCATAGGTAAATATATTGTCTTTCAACAAAATAAATACCAAAAATTGACATGTCTGTGCTGCTGGGTTCATAATATCGATAATTCTTATTACTACACCTATTTGTAGATCTTCTCAAATGGTGTGACTTAGGATTCTATCAGAAATTTGCCGTAAATTTTATAGTAGTTTACAATCACAGGGTTTATGTTTGAGTTTTTACAGGGTAAATGCCAGTCTTGCTTATAATAGCTTAGGATATGGAAGTTGTTTTCTGTCTAAAATCATGAACGCATTCAGAATATTTGGGCAGTGAGAAATGGACAGTTTCACAAGATAGAGATATTCAAAGATGTATCCTCCCCTTGTAAAAATGTTTGAAGTCTGATGTATGTACCCTTTCAAATTAGCTTCATAATAATATGTTCAGGGGAAGTAGATATCAATGTGTAGTGTGCCAAATAATATACATATCTAGAACCTAGCTGAAGTGTTTGAAAGAACATCCATGTAATATACAAGGATTTGCTGAAAAATAGTGATGGAATGGTGCTGCTTTTAAATCTTTAGAATAGACTTTACCTTCTAAGCCATATTTTCAAGTGCTCTCTGTGCTTTGAAGGCTTCAGATAACATTCTTTTTTGTAATCCATAATTATGTCTTTCAAAAAAAGTTTTTTTATGTTAGCTAGTCAGTTTGTTAAGGATCACTGATTTAGAGTGTAGCTTGTAGTGTTTCATGAGAACTGCTGTGACAAATTTTTGATGATGTAATAAATATGTTGCGTAGATCAAACTAAACTTGGCATGTTATCAGGACTAAATAAATGTGGTGTCTTTAAAGGGATCTGACTACATTTGAGTGTCATTTGATTTCAATTCAGCTAAAAGAACAGTAACATATGTGATTATGAGTGGTGTGTGTTAGTTAACCTCACTATCTTAATAACTGTACAGAAAGTTTCTGTGAAATTTCAACACTCGTGTTAGTTAAATTTTTAGACAAATTCTTATTTCTGCTTGAGTATGGGTCTTCACATTTTTTACCAATGTCTTTGTTTTTTAGCTTATAATGAAAGTCCACAATGTCAGAACTCTCTTTATAGAAGTATGGTTCAGAAATAATAGTTCTTTATAATCACAGTACCATTGATTGCTGGATTAAGTGGGTTTATTTTTAAACATGCCCTAAGAATGCAAATGGAGCAGTATTTAACTAAGATGTAATAAAAAGGAAAAATGAACAGTACCTTTTCATTGTAGACAAACAGTTTACGCATTTGTAAATTTTACCTTCGCTGAATTGGAATAAAAGTTTTTGTATATCATTTGCAGTCTTCTGGGTTATGATGCTGTGTGATTTTATAGGTAGTTATCAGCATTTTAGGAATCTTTTGTAACTGCACAGCATCACAGTAAGGGGGACCACAAAAATGTATTTACCATCATGGGAAACAGAAATCAGATACAGATTTATTTAACTGTGAATTTTTATTGAGGTTGTAACTGATGTGAAATGTACACATTTGTGTACACAGTTGTGAGTATTATATTTAATAATGTAAGTTACAGTAAAATTCAAAGTTTCATAGTTAAATAGTAATGGATTTTCAGTGAGAGTCAGCAAGGTTGTAGTATGTATGTGTGTAATTATAATTAAAATATTAGTACCTGCATAACCTGTACAGTACATATGTAAAATATAACATTTTAGAACAGGTTCAAATTGTATACTAAGAAATATGATGTTATAAATAAATATTACATTTATTTTGTTACAGAATTTTGAGAACATATGTTCACACAGTAAAATCTAGAGCCAGTTTTTGAATTTCTAAATAATTTTGATTTGTAGTGTTGAAATTTCTCAGTTATCTCTGTTATGGTAATGCTCAGTGTATGTAATAATATTACAGTACAAGTGTAACACAGCGAACTAGATATTAATGTGAAACCAGGTAAGCAAAAATCACTATTTGAACTTGCAATTGGCGTATTTGCTCTTCTTAATGTACCAGTATTTTTATGTGAACTTTACATTGATGCATCACTATTTTATTAACATTTTGTTCCTGTAGAGTTTTTATATCTTTAAATTTTCTGAATATATTTCATATAAGTTTTAGTTAAATTTTACACCAAAGAAATTATGTATATTTATAAATGGTGTAAAAATGTTACATTAGATTAATATAATAGGAATGTAATTAAATTACTGGGTAATTAATACTGTGAGTTGAAAATTATGTTTCATTCTTTTCCTAATAAATTATGTAACCTCGTTTATTACGTTCATTGGTACATGTGATATCCTGTATAGACAGGAATCTGAATAAATGCTATGAACTTACAATTTAAAGAAATTAGAAGTTGCATTAAAATTTTAGAGGCTTATTTAATCCTGCCCAACATGAGTTATACTGACAGATTTTTTTAACATTTCTGTTTCCTGTATGTGGGTTAATGAATACTTTGATTTTGATTTCTGTACCATAATAAACAAATGGTGTGGTACTGGTATCTGAACAGATTATTATACACAATTAGTTTCAGACTCATATGAAACAGAAACACTTGCCTACTGTAATGACAGTGTTCTGAAATAATGAGAAGTTTTGCTATTGGACTCTTCACATATTCCCACTTTTGCATCCAACTTCTTACAACTTACATGTGGTTTCACTCTGCACAAAAAGTGCTTCAGTATGAAGTGATTCTCTGAACTTAAACTCTTTACATTTTGTACTAGCATACCTAATAATAAACTGTTTATATTATATCCTTCAGTCATTATAAGCATCACAGAGCAATAGTTATAATGTGCAGCATTCTTCTGCAGAGATGGATTAATTGTTCCTTCATGTGAATAAATTTAGAACAGTAAATACAAGTATGATATGAATATTATTTCAAATCAGATGTAAACTGAGAGTATCCATGGATAATGATAGCATTTTATTTCAGCTGGAAGAATATTTAATGTAAGCTGAGGCACTCATATGGGCCCTGTAATATACAAATTTCTTGTGTTAATTCTGCTTAAGGCTGCTTCAGTCATTCATCATTTTGACATCCCTAATGCAGTAGAATTTTGTAAATTTAAATGTTCCTGCAGAGAGTAAATTATTTAAATTAACTGGTCTGATATCAGTTAATTTTGGTATGGCAAAGATGAAATAAGTAGTTTGCATGCTCAAGTATGGAATAGGAGGTAAAATATTATTAATGTATCATTTTCAGTTTGATTTTGCAACTTATCTTGTTGGTTGTTTCATAATTACAGTGTAATTAAGGTAGCTGATAAACTCTTTTCCTTTCAGTGAAAAGAACATTAACTAATATGTTAAATTTTTCTGCTATTATTGGCTGTCTTATAGCATTTTTACAGTTAAGGGGCAGGGTCCATTACTTCTTTCCCTGCTTCCAATGAGTGTTACTGTCATTTATTTTCTTGCTAATTTTCTGTGTTTATAAAGTTTGTTTGCAAGTGATAGACAGTCCAAGATCTGGAGCTGAGAGTTGTAATGATGTAAATGAATCCTACTTTCATTCTCCATATCACCATTTTCCTTTCCTCGAGTTATTATGTTTCAGTATTACAGAGTTTATGCATATCAGTTTATTATTTTTTAGTTGTTATCCAGATGCAATATATGTAATGCTTGACTTTCTGAAGTCGTATGAAGATGTTTCTTGGGGTGTAAGACCGTGTCTCTATTATGCTGTGCATCCATCTTTGATTAGCCTACAGAATGTTATCATTCCTTAAGCCAAAAACTAAAAAATAGAAGTGTTTTTAGAGTGAGAGTAATAATATATATGAATATATTGTAATTGTTAAATGAAACTGTATATGTGTTGTGTATTTCTTTAAAATGTACTTTGTATTTTTCTGCTACAAAAACAATGAGTATTATTGGATATCAAATGAAAGCAGTATGTTATTAAACCGCTTTTGATGGAAAGATAGGTTTGCAGTATCATCATGTGTTTGTACATGTGTCTATCCATTCTTAAAATATTTTCAAGCAGTTAATCTGTTTTGTTATAAAATCTTCTCAGGTGATCAGCCACATTATGTTGAGTCAAATGCCAATGTTTTGAAGACTAGCTCTGTCTCAGTGTTCTTATGATGCAGACAGCGCTAATCTTTGAAACAGAGGCATTTGTTTTAACATTGATGCTGCTGATCCGCCGAGAAAAATTTCATAACGTGTATGTGCCATGATCATACCGCCTGGGATTTCTTATTCTGCTTTATATGAGCTGATTAACCCAGGACCAGTCATGAAACTTTTAAG